GAGCCCGATGTTGCGCGTAGAGATTACTTAACAATGAAATCTTTAAAAAAAAAAAAAAAAAAAGTAAACAAGTTAAGGAACAGGCCATGGCGGCAGAACCAGGATTTAGAACTAATGTTTGTTTGCCTCAAAGCTGAACCTCTTTCTATTGCCCTATCCTGCCTTATTGCACCATTAATCCTCACACATACTTGTGGACTGTGAGCTCCATGAAGATAGGGACTAAGTATCTGTCTTGTTCACCACTGCATCTGGTGATCAATAAATATTTGTCGAATGAATGAAGCAGATGAGGCCTAGAGAGATTAAGCAATTTATCCAAGATCACACAGCCATTGTTTGACAGGGTGAGGTTCTCTGATTCCAAACCCTATGTACTACAAGCTGATTAAGATCCTACAGCCTACTGAGCTATGTGTGTATCTTGGGTGGGGGTTGGGGTGGGGGTGGGGGAGATCTAGGACAGATAGGTGAAATAACAGAAGAATTTTGTTTTTGTGTTTTTTAAATAAATGCTGAGGTCCTACACGGGTACAGGTAAATCTAAAGGTGGAAAAGGTGAATTTGGAGCAGTCAGAAGGTGAAGGATGTGAACTGAAGATGATACAGTAAAGCATTGCTGGATGGGATAAAGGTCTGGGCAAGGATCAAAGTAAATTATATTCACGGGAATAGAGCCAGCCCCCAAATACCATGCCATCAGTCACAAGGGTACGTGGGTACATGCCAATGGCAGTTTTGCCTATTAAGCGAAGCAGAATAAGCGATTCCATGTGGTGAAGGACTTCTGAGCCAAATCGGCAGAGATTCTGCTTGCCTGAAGCTGAACTACCTGCCAAACTCTCCCAAAGTACTGGCTGGACACCCAGACTGGAAATGAGAAACTCAGGAATAATGAGGAGTGTGGTGGGAGGTTGGGAGGTTGGAGGAAGGAATGGCTGCAGAGTCTGAAGCCTGACTGATTGCTCTTTGTCAGTAAAATCCCCTTGCTCCTTCATCCTAAGGAAATGAAAAAGTTTTTACAGGACACTCAGTTTAGATGCCAAGCCCTAGGTAACACAGACAAGAAAAATGGTACACTCCTCTACAATTCTAATAAACGCCTGTAAGTTTCTAAGAGGAACGGTTCAGATTGAGGGTGACTACTCCTATGCCCGGAGACCTTCCCTTGGTCTCAACTTAAAAAGACTGGAAGCAGCAGGACAATAGCTGATGACAGTTACATCATGAAGCCCTGTTAAATCTAGGAATTAAACTAGACACACAACTATATTCCCTCATGATGAATTTCAGAATCACGTGCATTTGCATTCCAAGCACCTAGCAGAGTGCCAGCCCCATGATAGGAGTTCAAAATGTTGAAGAACAAAAGGAAACTAATGGTAAACGTATCATTGGGCACATCTAACAAATGGAGCTAAAAAATCTGTTTTCATAGGAATATTTGGGTTTATACTGTCTGGATTTAAGAAAGGGAGAAAATGAGACATGTTCTTTCCAAGGAAATATGAACCAATAAATCTGAGGTAATTCTCATCATTTTTAAGTCACCCATTACGTGTCAGGTGTAATATCTCATTTAATCCCCCTCATAACCCTCGAGGAAGCTGAAGTGTAGTGAAGTTAAGTCACTTCCCCAAAAACATAGCTGGCAAGTGACAGAGATTTAATCTGGGATTTAATCCACGCTTGTCTGACTCCAAAACCCACATACGCTCTTTTCACTACACTTTCACAGGGAGGGAAAAAAGTCACTACTGTCCATAGAGAAAGCCCTACAACCTTTCTCTGTATTATTGTCCAACTAGAAGGTTAGAGATATAATCACTTCCAGCTCAGGCAGGACTTAACCAAACAGAAAGAAGTTATGTCTCAGAAATTCCAGACTTATATTCTGTATCCCACACCCCTCACTATATTGTGTTCCTTGTTACACTATAAATCTGGAGCTCAAACTCAGGAAATTCTGCACTGATTAAACAAAAACAACAAAGAAAATCCTCACACTCCCCTTCTCAGAAACCCTAGAAATTAGGCATCTGTAAGATAAAGATTTCTAATGGAAATAGGGTTTCTGCCTGGCTCATTTCCACAGAATTTAACATTGAGAGAGCCAAGGCCTGGGATTTATCCTCAGTTCCTGGGCAAGGGCCAGGAAAACAGAGCCAGACAGAGAGGCCAGAGTTGTGAGGCTCCACACTAAAAAAGACACCGAAGTGAGGTACTAAGTCACAGGAAGGTGGTGTGGACTCAGTGGTACGGTTCCAGATTTAAAAACACAATTATAAGTGACTTGTGAAGGCACTACCTAATTCCCCAGCAAATCTGAAGTTGCACTGGAAATTTCAGAGTGAGGATAAGTAAGAAAAGAATTCAAAAGTCAAGATTAAGGAGGTGGAGGGGCACCTGACTGGCTCAGTTGGTGGAGCATGCGACTCTTGATCCCGGGGTTGTAAATTTGAGCCCCACATTAAGGGTAGAGATTACTTAAAAAAATAAAAATCTTAAAAAAAAAAAAAAGACTAAGGAGGTGGAGTAAGTTAATAGGGAGCCCAGGAATTGCCGAGATCACAGAAGAAAGATTGAGAGGGCATGGATGAGAAATGTCTTGGATCTGACATAAAGGTAGGATCCTACACAATGGTGACTGGTCCTCAAAGGCAAAGGGATGTTAAGCTATAGGAAGAATTCCATTTCTGAAGGAGAAACGGCTGGGAAGAAAAAATGGTTGTATTTGTAAAAAGGGGTCCCTGGAGAATATAGTAGTAACTCAATAAAGGGGAAGGGGTGAGACGTATGTATGAGCGTGTGCCTCTGTGTGTGTGCGCGCCTATGTGCGTGCCTGTGTGTGCGTGTAGCCCAGAAGGAAACTCCCCGAAAGGAAATGCATGTGAGGGCTCTGCGCCAGGAAAAGCGATCCAGAGGACTATGGGAGCAAGGCTCCTTTACAGAGAGTGTCCCGCAGGAGGCCAGACCCGCAGACTCACCTCGGCCATAGCCCTGCGTGTGCTTGGCGAAGCTCCTCACCACGGCCTCCACGGCCTCCCGCAGCACCGCGGGGCTGCCGGCGGCGCCCGGGGGCAGCGGCAGCCCAGGGGCCCCCG